TAGACGCAAAAACACGAGAATCATTTCGTCGGGTGGTGAAGTCTTCACAAGCCACCCCCACTGTTGAGTCGCGTTCAAATGATACTAACGAACGTGATGTGATCCTGGATATTCTTGATGATCGGAGCTCTGAAAGAACCCTTTTGAGCAAGCCTGTCTCCGACCATGTCATAGCACTGCTCTGTGCTGACTCTGAGGAGCCGCTTGGAAACTATCACGGCAGGGAGGCAACTTCTAACATCGTGGCCGTTTACCAAACTCTACAGAATTTCAACACCGGATCTGGATACAGACTGTGGGCTGCGAAAGTTATCGGACGTGCTTTTGCTACTACGGGCAAAGTCAACGACGCCCTTCTCAGGGAGCAGGATCTGTCTCTTTTTAAATCTCAACTATCCCACTCGCGCTTAGAGGTCCACTGTTATTCTAAGGCTAGCATACTCCATGAACTATGCAACATGCTACAAAACAACAGCCATCTGGAGGTGGGGCTTGTTGAACGAACATTGCAACTCATCATAAGTAATCTTGCCAGGTATCCGGATTTTGAACAATGCGCCGATGTCGTACCTCTCTACCTGATGAAAGCTTTCACATGGAGCCCCTATCAGTGCCCGCCCATACTGATGCTTGTTCCAGAGGCAGAAGGAGATGATGCCAAAGTCCACTGGAAGACAAGCAATCCTTTACCTCAATGGGCCCGCAGTATTGCATTGCTCTTGTCAAAAGCTGCAGCCAAAGATCCTGTGATTGGGTCATTAAGGCACATTGTCTATGTTATTCCTGAATTAGCCGTCCAAATCCTACCCTATATGCTTCATGATGTTTTGCTGGCAGAGCTTCAAGGAGAAGCAAATATCCGACAGAAGGTTTCCCAAATTTTCAAACAAGTTTTGTGTGATATTCATGACACTACTATTCCACATGCACGGCTTGCAATCAACTGCATTCTATATCTTCGAAACCAGCCGAAACCGGATGAGGCGACAATAGTAGAACGTGATGAGTGGCTGGAGATAGACTTCGCAGAGGCATCGTTGGCTGCCAGTAGGTGCCGTTTACCAAAGACAGCACTCCTCTTCCTTGAGATACATGCATCTCGTGTAATCTCTGGCTCTCGCCGTTCCTCGCTGGCCAAGTACGAAGCTCCCTCGGACATGTTGCATGGCATATTCAAGGACATAGATGACCCTGATTCCTTCTACGGCATCCAACAAAGCCCCTCTCTGGACTCCGTTATGGAAAGGCTCCAACATGAAAGTTCAAGTTTTAAGAACCTCCTCTTCCAAAGTGCACAGTATGATAGTGAGATACAGATGTCAGCGGACCCAAACGCCTTTGGCGTTCTTAAGGCACTCAACTCGACAAATCTACAGGGAATTGCTAATTCCATATTCTCAGCATCTGGTGGGGGCTTCAAGGACACATCAAGTTCATTTGACAGCATGCTGCAAGCTGCAACAAATTTACGACAATGGGATATACCCGTCTCGCCCCTGAATCCTTCGCCTTCCGCGACCGTCTTCCGGGCTTTCCAAAGTCTCAACACATCAGGGAGCCTAACTGAGGCCTCGAAGTCTATCAACGAATGTCTCTTGACAACTTTGGAGTCACTTACGAGTACCAGTCGATCTGCCATGTCTTTACGAACTACGATGAGGGTTCTTGGGGTTATCACTGAAGTCAGTGATGTTTTGGGCGCCAGATCAACGGAAGAAATCAATCATGAGTGGCAGAAAATCGCTGCCAGGGACTCTTGGTTGAAGACCACCAGGTATGGAATAGATACTCCTGCAAAACAACCAATATCCAGTTGAGCTACGTCTAACTCAGTCAGCGTTCATGAGATCGGAGAGATACTAAACTCACACGAAGCCCTCTTCTCATCAATCAACCGAAGGCCTTATTTAAGATCTTCGACCAATATAAGCGACCATGATGCACAGCTTCTGGAGGTCAAAGCCATCCGGCAATCACTTCATATCACAAGAACCCAGGGCATCCAACAAGCTTCGCTGAAATCGGCCGTTTGCCTCTCTAAGCTCGCACACCAGTGCTCTACACTAGGGATCAACATTGAAGGGGCCGCCAAGTTCGATCTGGCTAATGTTTTGTGGGACCAAGGTGAAATGACTGCATCAATTCGGATGCTTCATCAACTCAAGGATCAAAGTGACCTACATAAACAGGTGGTACCAATCAGCCGTGCAGAACTTCTTGTGACTTTGGTAAGTTCTCTCCACATCAATTCCCTGCGTACGAAACCCTACTCGTTCCGGGCTAATTTATTTGCTTACAAGGGCCACCATGTCGCTGAGGCACGCCTCGAGAAACCAGAGATTATCATCCAAGACTATTTATTAGCCGCAGTCAAGGAGCTTAAAGGTCGCTCCGGGGGCGAAGAAGCTGGGAGAGTTTATCACGGGTTTGCCACGTTTTGCGACCAACAATTACAAAACCCCGATGGTTTGGAAGATTTTACGCGAGTTGAGCAACTGCGTAACCGTAAGGAAAAAGAAGTGCGAGCATTGGAGGATATGATGAAGGCTGCGGAGGGAAGAGAGAGGGAGGCTCTCAAATTTCATCGAGGAAGGACAAAACAGTGGTTTGATCTTGATGACCGCGAATACCAACGCCTGCGACGAAGTCGGGAGGCCTTCCTACAGCAATGTCTCGAAAACTATCTCCTTTGTCTGAGAGAGAGCGAAACCTACAACAATGATGTCCTCCGCTTCTGTGCTTTGTGGCTTGACAAGTCCGACAGTGATATCGCAAATGCGGCCGTTTCCAAGCATCTCGGTCAAGTTCCAAGCCGAAAATTTGCGCCCTTGATGAATCAGTTAACCTCGCGCCTGTTGGATGTGCCTGATGAGTTTCAGAAGATGCTTTTCTCTCTGATTACTCGCATTTGTGTTGAGCACCCATTCCATGGTATGTATCAAATATTTGCGAGCAGCAAGTCCAAGGGAGGAAAGGATGAATCGGCGCTGTCACGCAATCGAGCAGCCGGACGATTAGTTGAAGGCCTAAAGAACGACAAGCGTATTGGGCCGACATGGGTCGCTGTTCACAACACTAATATTAATTACGTACGATTTGCCATTGACAGGCCAGATGAAAAATTGAAGAGTGGCGCAAGGGTTCCGCTGCGGAAACTCCAAACGGGTGGACGTCTGGAACAGGATGCCGCAACACAGAAACTACCACCCCCCACAATGAACATCGAAATCAGAGTTGATTGCGATTATCGTGATGTACCAAAGCTTGTTAGGTATCACCCCGAGTTCACTATCGCGTCCGGCGTCAGTGCGCCAAAGATCGTCTCCGCTTTTGCAAATAATGGTTTACGGTACAAGCAGCTGGTGAGCATTAGACATCGATTTGTATAGCGTATGGAGCGAATGTTGAGCTAACAACGCCGGTAGTTTAAAGGAGGAAATGATGATCTGCGACAGGACGCTATCATGGAACAAGTATTTGAACAAGTTAGCAATCTCCTTAAGGACCATCAGACTACTCGGCAGCGAAACCTGGGGATTCGCACTTACAAGGTTCTGCCGCTTACGTCGAATGCGGGAATAATTGAATTCGTGCCATATACTATCCCCTTGCATGATTATCTGATGCCTGCGCATCAAAAATACTATCCGAAGGATATGAAACCAAACGTTTGCCGCAAGCACATCAGCGATGTTCAGACACGGTCGTTTGAACAACGCGTTAGGACATACCGACAGGTTACTGAACACTTCCATCCAGTCATGAGATACTTTTTCATGGAAAAGTTTAATAATCCAGACGACTGGTTCAGTAAAAGGCTTTCGTATACTCGAAGCACAGCTGCAATTTCTATATTGGGTCATGTTCTCGGCCTTGGCGATCGCCATGGCCATAATATCTTGCTAGACGAGAGGACGGGCGAAGTGGTGCATATCGACTTGGGCGTTGCATTCGAACAAGGCCGAGTGCTACCGGTTCCTGAAGTCGTTCCATTCCGTTTGACACGAGACCTTGTCGATGGGATGGGAGTTACCAAGACCGAGGGTGTCTTCCGCCGCTGTTGCGAGTTCACGCTTGAAACCTTACGGCGAGAGTCCTATAGTATCATGACCATCCTTGACGTGCTTCGTTACGATCCGCTATACAGCTGGACCGTGTCCCCTTTGAGGATGAAGAAGATGCAAAACGCCCCCGAAGCTGGGGGCGGACCACCCATGCTGGCCGGTGCTGCTGACCAACGGCCAAGCAATGAACCAAGCGAGGCCGATCGTGCGTTGACGGTCGTGGCAAAGAAGCTGGGCAAGACGTTGAGTGTTACAGCGACTGTAAATGAACTGATCCAGCAAGCAACTGATGAAAAAAACCTTGCCGTCCTTTATTGCGGTATGTATAGCGTTACCTAGAGAGGCCGTGCCGAGATGCTAACCTTCATCTTTATAGGTTGGGCTGCTTATGCTTGATGAAATGATATTAATAAATAGTGCGGCTGTGGGTTGTTGTTGGCTTATTACAGATGAACGATGTATTTGGCGTCTGGGATTCGGTGTTGATGCTGTGTTTCTTCGCGAATTGTTTATAGTGGAAATTATATATATATATCTCTCTCTTGTCACTGTCGGATATCTCACTTCAGCCAATATAATAGGAAAAGCTGCACATATCCATAAATATAACTGCGTATTGGAGAGACAAGTGGAATAATATTGTCGACAGTTTTCTTTCGAATTTGAAAAGAAGAAAATCATAGGAAAAAGAGGAGGAAAACTAAGACATACAAGAATCAAAAAAAGAATGGTCCCAGAGAGGCTCGAACTCTCGACTTCTGAGTTATTAGCTCAGCACTCTAACCAACTGAGTTATGGGACCCAATTGTTGGAAGGGAAACTTAAATTGCCCCTATAATAAAATAAATATTATTCTAGGTTACATCTTAGGGCACGGTATCCAATGATGGACTCGGCTCCATTATCAGTGACCGTTTTCAGATCCTACCTCACTGACAGGCCCTTATCCTTACTTCTTCTCCACTGTAGTCTTTACCTTAGTATTCATGACCACGTGCCCCTAGGCAGTCGATCATATAGTTCTAACGCTTCCAATCCAGGCATGTTTTGTTTTCTTCCCTGTGTCCATGATCAATCAAGGAACTAAAGACCCTACGGTGTCTTGGCTAATGACATCTGGCCAGGTTGCGAAATGATATTTATAGAATCCGTGGCATTGGAATATGAAGACAGGTATCACCGCTACACTTTGGGTAGATGAGTGACCGTGCTTGCTTTTCAGAGAGGAGTTTGTATCTACACTTCTCTAGTTCCTGCGTTTCATCATTTGATCGTCCCCGCCAAGGCTCCCAAGCATGTCGACCACCCCAACCCCTAATAGGGGTATTGCAGTCTTTTCGGGAGGAAGCGCTGCCAATAATCTAGTTGAAGTATTTGACACGGTTCGCGACACCAAGAACTGTCCACTGAGCTATATCATCCCCATCAGTGACAACGGAGGTTCCTCATCGGAGCTGATCCGCATCTTCGGGGGTCCAGGAATCGGCGATGTGAGAAGTAAGCACCCATCCACTCTTACTATTCACTCTTCTAACGCAGACTTACAGGTAGACTGGTCCGGCTGATTCCGGACTCGCCCCCAAATTCCGAACGGGGTGCCATAAAGACACTCTTCAATCATCGACTGCCAGTGAACGCAGCCACCGCCCACGCAGAATGGCTCTCCATCGTAGATGGCACATCGAACATCTGGCATGCTATCACGCCAGCAAAAAAAGAACTCATACGCTCGTTCTTCAACCTTCTCAACCTGGAGATCCTAAAGCGAGCCCGTCCGCCATCATCAACCTTCGACTTCACCTCCGCCAGCGTAGGTAATCTCTTCCTCACCGGCGCCCGCCTGTTCAGCGGAAGCTTCGAAAGTGCCATCTATCTTCTCGGTAGCATCTGTGGCGTGCCATCAGACACCGTCCGCGTCATCCCAGCCATCAACTCCAACTTCTCACACCACATCTCCGCCTCCCTCGCAAACGGCTCCATAATCGTCGGCCAAAACAGCATCTCGCACCCCAGCGAAGCAACAGCCCTCCAACCCCGCCCCAGACGCCCAAGCCTACTACTCGCAGATGGCGCCGACGACTTCACAGACACAGACACCTCAGACACACTCTCCTACGAAGACGACCACCCCCCAGGCTCCCTCCCAACCCTCCGCAACAAAAACATCCAGTTCTCCAAATCCGAAAACGAGGATCTCCCCTCCCGCATCACCCGCATCTGGTACATAAACCCCTACGGCCAGGAAATCCGTCCACCCGCCAATCCACGTGTCCTCGAAGCCATCCGCGACTCGCAGGCTATCATCTACAGTATTGGTTCCCTCTACACGTCTCTCATCCCATCTCTGATCCTTCGCGGTGTCGGACAGGCAATCGTGACGAGCCCAGCTCGTCATAAGATTCTAATTTTGAACGGGTCCCTAGACCGCGAAACGGGACCCCCGTCTGAACCTTTCACGGCTATTCACTTCGTCGAGGCCATTACTCGCGCCGGGGAGGAAAGTCGTGGTCGGATGGCTCTTTCTTCCTCGAATTATGGTGGTCATAGGTCGATTCCGGGTCTAAGTCTTCCATATTCGTCATATGTTACGCATATTCTTCATCTGGAGGGTCCCGGGACGCCACAGGTGGATCGTGATCGGCTCGTTGAGATGGGTATAGAGACGCTTCGTCTTTATGGGAGGAAGATCGTTACTGCGGATGCAGATGGCGTTGAAACGCCTATTGGAATGAAGTATGATGCTACGGCTTTGGTCCAGGCTCTTGAGGTGGTGCTGGGTAAAAAGGGTGATGCGATGCTTCGGGGTGGAGAGAAGAACGGCTTAAGTCGAAGGAATACGTTAGATCCTGGCAGGAAGAGATAAATAGATTTTGCCTGCAATCTGTGTACTTTATGGCGCAATAGATGTATGTAGTGGGCTTTAGTTTTTCAGACGTCAAGTTTAATTTAGGTCTTTCTTTGACAGAGTCCCGAGACGGGGAATTGTTACAGTGTATAACTGTCTTGATTATATGTTCTTTTTGGCGAAATATTATATACAGTATTATAGCATCACGATCAACATGCCTATGGTAGACAACATATAATGCGACATGGATACTTCGTACCACCCGAAACTGCCAGACGAGACGCCACCCAATGCTTCCCCAGCCAGGTCTAAGTGGGAATACAAGAAAGTAGAGAAGAGACAAAAAAGAACAAGAATACACCATGTCCAGATCCCAATAGATCGGGTTATATATACATAAAATAATCGAAAGATGGAAGTGGTTGACAAAATTGTCAGAAGAAAGCATTTATGCCCGAGCAGATGGCCGGGATTTCCAAGTCTGTCGGTTCAAGTTGACCTGGGGATGCCTGCTCCCCGGGGGAAGATCGTTAAAGTCACTGTAAAGTCCTGACCCGACGTCGACTAAAATGGCCTTCTGAGGCTGTGCTGTATAGGAATTGGCAGACTTGGCACGATCGCTTTGAGAACGTGCGTTTGATGACGGTCCGGAAGCGGATTTAGCCTTGGTAACTTCTTTGATGATTTCTCGAAGTTCTTTATCATCCTTTGTGATCTGGGCTCTGATAAATGCAGGGTTATTCGTAGACTGAAGAGTGGACATCACGGACTCTCGCGGTATGTACGTATAGTTCTGAGGAGAGGGAGGGGAGCTCGGGATAACAGAAGGGTCTAGACAAGCAGCCTCATTCTTCTCCAAAAGTTGGACGATATCTAGAGTTTCACCGTGTGGGATCTTGTGAGGATGCGAAGGGGTAATACAATCCATGTCTACCTCTTTCCGAAGAACATGGTCAATGTCAACTGCAGAGAAGTAGGCGCAAGACTGAGGGAGGTCATTGATGCCAACTTGCTGCGAGAACATGGCACGAGTCCAGACATTAGCTACCTGTAGAGCCAAAGCAGCACGATACTTGTCCTCATCTTTGACGAGATACCTGATTTCATCATGGACAGTGATCGCTAAACGAGCAGAGATGTTGAAGCGCCGGATTAGATAGTCCATGGAGATAATGAGGAGATGAAGATAGTCCACACCAGATGATTGAATTGCCCAGTTGATCCGCGATGTCATGAAGCTGCCTCGGTTGATAAAACGCCGCATTAACGCCTCAGTGATGCCGGCACCCAACGTAGGCGTTCTTGGTCTCTCTTGATCAGCGAACTCCTCTAGCTTGTTGAAGACAAAAGATTCTGTGCCTCCGCGCCAAAAGGGACTCTCGCTTAAGATGCGACGTGTCGTACGTGCACCTTTCGTCTCTTGATACAGTTTTGTCGCAACTTCCTGGGTTTGCTTCTCTGACATGGAAGGGTTGAACTGGCGCAATAATGAAGCAGCAAATTTTACGCCAGCTCCGTAGATTCGGCCATAGTTGAAAACCTTAGCATCGTTGCGCGAAATCCCTAGAATTTTGGCAGTGCGTGAATGCATATCGGTTCCTGCAGCCTTGGATCCTTCCAAAGTCATGAAGCCGATCGCATTACCACCGTGAATCTGAAATTGAGCATCACCGATAAGACTCGCAATCCAGAGCTCCTGTGAGTCAACATCTGCACCAACAAAGACATAGCCGGGCGGTGCCTTGATCATGGCTTTAAGTTCAGATCCAACACGATTTTCCTTAGCGTTGCTTGCAGTAAGCCATGTGTTTTCCACAGCTCGTCGCGTAATAGTACCCATTGGTATCACTTGAGGCAGGATAAACCCCGTCCTGCTCTCCGCATTATTCGATTGAGATTTTTGCACCTCGTCCTCGTAAACAACCATCTGCCCCATGATTCGGTCCCGAGCGCTGATCCAATATGAGCAAGAAGCATTCATCTCTAACGCTTCCTTGGCGAGCGCATATTGCGAAGAGAGAGTCCCACGTTCGAAATACTGCATGTATCCTTTGGCTAGCGGGTTAACACACCGGGCCTGAGGTCCATCCTTATGTGGAAGCTTGAAGTAGACATGTCTTCTGTCGTCCCGTAACTCCACGATTTTCTCTTCGGTCATATCGCAGAGCACTACAGGCTGGTTCTCAAATTTCTTGACCTGATCACGTGGAACCTTGAATGTCCAACCGTGTTTATCGGACCAAGTTAATGGATACCCATCCCATGATAACTTGAGTAATATAGGCGCAGTCCGACTTCGTACAGTAAGATTGATATCGGCCGTGTTTGTGGCAAAGAGATCTTTATACCATTTTGGCATACCCGGCTTTTTCTGCCTCGCAGCTGGTCGAGGAGGATCCCCTTTCTTTTTTCCTTTGGCCATTTTGATCTCCTGACCAGACCAGTCCAGCTGTCGTAGCCAGGGATCGTCCATATACACATCCGGCTGGTCTTTGACCTTCAGAGCTTCATCACATAATTCAACTAATTTTCTTTGCACGTCATCAAGTCGTTGATGGTAGGTCGCCTCGGCATTGGTAATATAGTCCTTCCAGGTCTCATTGACTGGCAATATAACCGAGGAAAGATGCCTGAGAGCCCCAAAACTGACCGGGTGGGGGCAGACTTCAAGGAAATTTGGGAAAACCTTCTTGTATACGCGATGAGTAATGGCAACATCCGCAGCACAGTAATCCAGTAGTTCATCCATTTTCCCTAGGATTCCCTCTCTTGAGAGTTCACCAAAATCATCTCGCTGCGCCTTGTCGATCGTGACATCACAATGAAATTTGGCAACGTCACGGAGGGAGTTCACAGAGCTCCTCCCTACCCATAGCTCTTCTTCCTCATCGCTGAGCATTTTGCTTTCAAGAAGAGCTGCAAGCTCGACAGAGTTATTCTCATTCGCAATCTTGTCCCTCAAGTCCCTATTTTTCTTGTGGCGCATCCAGGTAGGTCTCTGTTGGGAACACATCCCGTTCACAGCTACATGCAGCGACATCGTATCGAGAAAGAAGTTACGCGTCTGTTTCATACCATACTCTTCCAATACACGGGCACGATCATAGCCAATATTGTGGCCCACGACAATTCGCGGCTGTGAGATGTCTCCCAACGGTATGAGCTGAATATGATTGTCTGATTCCCCCAGCAGCCACGGTGACAGCCACGCATACCAAGCTGTAGGACTGACAGCACAAGCCATTACAGCAAAGGAATGCTCTTTCCACATAACCTCCGTATCAAAAGTTAACATTGACTCATTTGGGGCGTCCACGGGCTCCCAAGAGCCGTCACTATAATATTTCGTCCAACCACTGCGTTTGACCCATTTGCGCGGAATGCTCGGAGAGTTGACTTTGACATACTCTTTAGCGTATGTAATATAAGGTTCCGATGCATCCATGCCTAACTTGAAAAAATGCTCATCTAACGTCTGCCCCTGAAGGGGAGGCATATCGAATGCTACCGGTTCCGTGGCATCTTGAGATTTCCCGAGCAGGTCGTGCCTCGAGAGATGCTCTTTCGACAACGCAACCAATTCTGGATTTGGAGGGTCTGATTTTACCGGGAAAACCTGGGAAAATACATGGTCGCTCAATTGTTGGACTCCGATCTCATTGAACCTAGCCGTGGCGGGCACTGCGAAATTAGCATCTGCACTTATCGGTCATAAATTGTGGAAAAATGCAAAAGTACCTGCAAGAGATCTCTGCCTAGGCTTTATTTCATCATCCTGTGTAGGTACCTGCGAAAAGTAATACCGCGCTAGTGATAATGGCCGTGGCCTGGGGATGAGTGGCGAGCGCAATTTTTGCGAGCAAGAACGGATTACACCCCTAGAATAGGGAGCGCAAGAATGACTCCAAAGCATCTTAGGTCGTGTAAAGGATCGACGTAAATAAGCCCATGGCTTGATGCGCTGATGCTCGCAGCCGGTGCTGCGCGAAGCTGATGCGAAGGGGCTTCCTCTTTTTGGCTTTCCCAAGGATTTGTACATTCTTTCCTATCGCGGTATCTCCGTCATGATGATACGCGGACCGAATATACTATATTCCGTATCAGCCTCACCGCCTTCCAGGATAGGAGATTCAATTGCTGGTTATCATCAGGTGATTGATAATCAACATTGCCGATAACTACTAGTTAACTGAACCCCGGCTGCAGATCCTCGCCACTATCAGTGCTTATTTCCTGCGCCTGACATATGCCCTATTTTGCGTCGTAGGTCTGGGAATATCTTTGTCGAACTTTATTTACTAAACCGATTGGTTGTTCATATCCACAGGACTGTATTTACTGATACACGATACTCCCCAGGCCGCAGAAGGCTAGCACTCGCGATACATCGGCCAAGTGTTCTGTTCTGTCGCCCTTAGATACCGCTTTGAGAGTCATGAATCGAAGCTCTTCGATCCGGGGCCCGTTACCTTCTGGTTCCCATACTATACAAGCGTCCCCTCGTCGTCGACGGCCCTCCGACCATGTTGAGCCTTTAGAAACCCGAGGTGAGGGACGAAAACGTCGCCGTTTGAGTAGCTCTAATGTAGCAACGAGGAGTGCTCAATCTGAGCTGGATCAACACGAAGATGATATCGAGTCCATTGATTTAACTGAGGTGGAGGCTCCCTCAACGTTAGCGAAGGTGCTAGCGAAGCAACGGGAGGACGCTGTTAGGGCCCAACAATCCGTTGAGCCGGAGAAGGGGCAATCGATATTAAACTCATATAAGTGCCCTGTATGTATGGATACACCGGAGGATGCCACTAGCACAGTATGCGGTAAGTGTCACACCTGTACATGGGAGATTATTTGTACTAACTAGTGCAAATAGGGCACCTCTTTTGTCACAAATGCATCATCGACACATTGAAATTCAGCGAAGAACAAAGAGCAGATACCTCTTCAAAAGGCCCTCGAGGAACCTGCCCCGTGTGCAGAAAACCCCTTGCGCGGAACGACGCACCAGGCTCCAAAAGGAATCTCGTACCTTTGCAGCTCAAACTTGTCACGAAGAAGAGGAATACAACCGTGCCGAGTAGTGGGTAGTTTCCGCACGCTAGCTCTGTGCCAGGTGGTTGATGCCGAAGAACATCGCCCTGGCATTGATGCGCGAATTGTCGAACACACATTCTACACATGGCTGTTGAGCGCGGTGTATTATCCCAGTGATTAGGAGTCTTTTCTGGTTTCCCAAGGCCTCTTGACTGACCACATTCATGGCTACAGCGAGGTTTCTTCTCCATTCATAGCAGCCCCGCAAATCGGGACGATGCCATATGGCACCTTATTGGAAACTTCTTCGTATACTAAGCTCAGCTGTTAGTGATTGACCACGATGATGACATTCGCATTCGGAGAGCATAATTTCTTATAGCTCCCAAATGAGAAGAAGTGACACTAGGCTAGGACATAGTTGGTAGTTCGTCTACCTTGCGCGACGCATTTAATGATCAGACGAAGATTGCCCTGTCAAGTATATTGCATGAGGCATTGATGAATTATGAGGGCATGGAGCGGTCTATTTTTTTTTTTTTTTTTATCTTTTCTGCTTCTCTAACCCTAGAAATTACCGTATTGTGTTCTCATGATTATATTTCTCTGAATAAATGGAGACCCATGACGGAAATTCCTCCAACCACAATTCGTATATTAGCCACACGCTGCAGCGTCTAAATCTATCCTGCACAACTCTGGCGTCTGGGTTGAGCCTTGTAGGGAAATATCTATTTCATATCGTTAGCTCGTTCTTTTCCCCACCCATAATAACAACTAAATCCTGTCATCCTCGTAAAAAAAAGCCAATGTTTCGTTAGATATTGTGTGAACGAATCTTGATAAACCGCGGGGAATTTCCAGGGTCTAGGCACAAATTTAGGTTATGCCAAGAGTGGATGGCACCCGCAGCGAGACTAAAAAACATTAAATTTCCTTTGATGGAACTTGGAAGAGATGAACCCCAAGCTTAACCACACTTCATGGAAAGCTTAGATGTCCCGGAAATTGCTTGAAATTCCTTCATTATATACTCGGAGCGAGGAACAGGCGCGGATCAAGTTTTTCTTTTACATTGCGGTTCATGCCTTGAAAGCTTCGTAGTCCATAGTGGACGATTTAACTACTAACTCCTTTCGCAAACGTCATAATATCCACCTCACCATGGTTTCCCCTCACCCTGCGCGCAATCTAACATACTGAGAGGGCGCCCATACTCGCTCGATGTTGACCTTATATACATACGAAATTAGAGTCATTGGCCGTTCATTCTGTCCTTCAATCTACTGTCTGCTCCTTCCGTATCAGAGAGAGACGTGCGATTCTCCTTGCAGCGCCTGGCTATTTATGCTTTCGTGTTGATGTTCCCGCCTTTGTTTTTCTCATTCTCCTTCTTTTTCTTTTATTGTTAATATTCATTTCTCACTCCCTTCCAGCCGAAATACACAGATCCCTTTCGTCAAGATGAGTAGGGTCTCACTTGAACGTACAGAAACCACGGAGCTGCCATCCGGTTCTCATGATATCGAGGCGCATCCGCAAACTTCACCAACCACCGCGGAGCCAACTGGCCTTGAGTCATTCCCAACAGTGACTAAGGGACCATCAAATGACACGGTTAGGAATCGTGCACGGAGGTCAAATACGGCGCGCTCATACCATCCTGACAATGTCACTCATGACCCCAATTGGCACCCTGGCACGGAGCCCGGCATAGACCCCACCAAGCCGCTCCCGCCTTACAATGCGGATTGGGCAACTGCTGTACCAAGTGACCTATTTACAAGGTGTGAGATCATTGTTGTGGACTTCTCCCAGAATGAGATGAGACAATATGAGCTTGATAACGACACCCTGGAGCAATTTCTTGCGAGAGAGAGGGAGCCCTGGGTGCAATGCAGGTGGATTAATGTCAATGGTCTCAGCTGGGATGTAATTCGAGCCCTGGGAAATCAGAAAGGCATACACAGGCTTGCCATTGAGGACCTGATCAATACGACAAATCGTACCAAAGTCGACTGGTATTCGGACCATGCATACATTGTGCTCACGTTACAGAAATTGGTCCGAATCTATGAAGAAAATAGTGACTCGGATGAAGAGCCTGAACAAGGTCAATGGGAACATGACCGAAGGGGCTCATCAACAAGCAGCAAGAGTGTGTCTCTGAAGCGAGCAACTACCCTGAGTCTCATTACGGAGGCATTGAAAGACCTTTTCAGGCTAAAATCACGAAAAAGAGACCCGAGTAGTGAACCCAACTTAGGGGCAAATATTCGCCCTTCTATGAAGAAAGCCGAAGCAAAAACTACGTTTGACAATGCCTCAAATGTTGGGCGAACGGCTCGCAGCATGCAGCGGTATCGAGGTGGACCAAACGAAGACCGCATCGAATTCATGGAGCGACATGCTGTGCTAGCAGCGAAGGGGCTATCTGTCGCTTTAGAGCAGGTATCGATATTCTTACACGCGGATAACACCGTGACCTCCTTTTTTGAGACAAGCGCCGACGACATCGAATCGCCTATTGTCAAACGGTTGACTTCTCCGGAGACTATATTGCGTCAATCGTGTGATGCCAGTATGCTTGTGCAAGCAATCCTGGATGCAATAATTGACCTTGCAATCCCGGTGACCACAGCTTACCAAGATGCCATTGGCGACTTGGAACTTGACGTCTTGACTGATCCTGATATCGATCAGTCTAAGGACCTCTATATCCTAACATCTGAGATTTCAATCCTTCGAAATTCTATGCAACCGATCGTAACTATCATCAACGCGCTGCGAGATCATCGCTCTGAACCAATCAACACCCCCGGAATAGGTGTATTGAAGAGTTACTTTGGGCCCCCGAACTCCTCAGACCCAGCGACATATATAGGCACCGCTACTCCGAATCTCAAAAGTGTAGGTGGCTCCAGCGTATCTATTAGTACCATGTGCCATACGTACTTGGGCGATGCGCTCGATCACTGCATTACAATAGTTGAAGGGTACGACCAGATGAGACGGGCTGCTGACAATATGATCGATCTTATCTTTAATACTATCGGTATGCATTTACCTTACCATCAAAGGCCTTGTATGACTGACTGTGTTAACCACAACCAGGTGCATATCAGAACGAAAGCATGAAGCAACTAACGCTCGTGTCTTGCTTCTTTCTCCCTCTCACTTTCCTGTCGGTTCGTACTCACTTTGCATTTAGCACCAAACTGCATCTGTTGTTGACCACAAGTTAGGGCTATTTTGGCATGAATTTTGAAAGTTTCGATGGCATTAAGCACAGTGATGCGTACGTGATTTGATATTTAATAGTGACTAGCCGCAACGTACTAACCCTCGGGCTTTTTAGATACTTTTGGCAGATTGCGTGTCCCTTTGTATTCGCCATTACCGTATTCCTAATGTAACAGTCCAAACCACTAGTTTGCTGGAATTATGCTAACTGCAGACCCTAGGCGCGACAAGATCGTACGATGGACGGCGCGGCTTGCCCAGAAACGTCTCATCACCAGCTCGAGGAAGAGACGAAAGCGAGACGCCATCAGGAGACGATGAAAAACTACCGAGCAGAAATCGCTTTATCCTACTATCGTATAAAATAGAGTACATAATTAGAGCCGGGATGGACATGTTAGATATACATAATCTTGTATAGTACACTTGGATCAGTATCATACACTATACTACAAACTCTTCCGCTTAAACGCCATGTAGGCTTTCCAGGGCAGTTTCCAATCCGAGCGAAGAAGCTCAGGCCTAAAAATATCAAAATCGACACTCTGCAGTCTATCCAGCCACAGACGTGTGCCCACTGCAGGCATGAAGACACCGAATGCACGGTTAACCTCATCTAACGGCGACTCCTGCCGCTGATCACCCAAGGCCTCGTACTCATGCCCCTCCTCGCCCTCATGCTCAAAGTCATGCCCCACATCCTGCCCAGCACGCAAGTTACTCAACATCTGCTGAACGGTAATCAGATGATCACTCGCCCGCGTCGCAACCGTAAAAACCGCATCCCGCAGCCCAGGCGCCTCAGCCCCAAGCCTGAAAACCTCTTCTTCCTTCACCCCCGTCTGCGCCATAACATCCAACGGAAGCATCACAGCTCCCTGCCTCGCCGCGCCGCCAGCTTGCTGACCACCCTGCTGACCCGCCGCGCGCGCCGCAGGAAATGCAACCAACGGCAACCCCCGCAACACAGCCACAATCCCCGCCGCCTTCCCCACATGCGATGCGACATGATCCGCCGTAACGGAGGCCATGGGCAACGCCGAGAGCGTGAGATACATGAGCGTGGAATACGTATTCTCGGCGTAGGACTCCAGCGCCGCGATATCGGGGTATGGGTCATTCGTTAGGCCGCGCTCACGAGCGCTGATGAGCCGTGATAACCAGCCTTTGCTGATCCGGGCGCGGCCGTTGGTTCGCTCGTGGAGGTCTGCAATGGCGGAGGAGAGGAGGATGGCGATGGGTTCCTTGGGCGGAGTGCCGGCGAGGATCTTTGCGATTGATTCGCGCCAGAATTGGAGGCGCATGAGGCCGATTGTATGTGAGCTTGTTGTTTCGGGGATCATCGAGAGGGAGACGTTTAGGGCGCGGAGGGCGAGGTAGAATGGTTGGGCCTGCCGCGGGATGAAGGTGTGGAGGGTGTAGGAAGGGCGGTCATATTTACTGCGTGGGTATTAGATGGAAGTTCTTTTTGGAGTGTGGGAATTGGATTGAGATGTACATGAGGAGATCAGAGCAGTATTTTTGTGCTGCTTGGATTTCGGTTGCTGCGGCTGTTGTTGGACTTGCTGTTGGTCTGGAGTGGCTGAAGTGTCTTCTTTGGGATGGTTGGAGTCGTCGGCCGCTTGAGGAGAGGCGGTTTATTTGGCGGCTTGCACCGCGTGTGGGTTGGAGCATTTCTTTGAGTGGTGACATGATGATGGGAGGGAGTTGGAAGTGTTTCTTAGAGTGGTTGGTGGCTATTTTGCGGTCGAACTAAAAAAATCCCGGAGAGAGGACGAAAAATAGCATTGCGGGTACGCCGTCCCTAAGCCAAGATGGAGCTGTACTAAATGATTAGTTAACATGACAATTGAAGGAGAACAAATTGTAGCTCATACATATTTTCCTACCTCGAGATAGAAGTTATTCTGAGGGGATTGACAATTTTGCCCTTTTGGGAGCAGCAGAAGAAAATGACGTCGGCCCGTGAGTTCGCGTATCTCCGGCGCGTCCTCCGCGCCAATCATCCATGCAGATTATTAACTTGCAGCATCAAAGGATTTGCGCGCCCTGAGACTTTCCCCCGACAGGAATCTTTGTTCTCCCCTATTACAGCGACTGTCGCTACATAATGGAGTCGGGGGATATAAATGACCGTCCCTTGAAAAAGAGACGTTTTTTTGTCGACGAAGACGAGGACACCAAACCTTCCTCCGTTGACTCTACAGCTGCATCCCTCGACGCGTCTACTCCTCGTTCCACTCACGATGATCAACCGCCGGTTATTCGAATCCATGGTGTACAGTTTGACGATGAAATAATTTCGGTAGACGGAGTGGGAAGTGGATATGTACGAGACGATGATCAGCAGACTACGAGCTATACTTTGCCACGAGAACGAGAAGCAGCAATCTCCGGAGATACCATAGGGCAAAGGCCAACTTCTACGACACAAAATGGTGTAGTATCAGAAACGCAGGGGGAGAGAGTGGCAACAGAAAACACATCAGCACAAGAGGGCACAAATGGTTTTGACACGGAGATCTTCATTAGTATCATCGGGGAGCGACTCTCACCAGACACAATACGCAAGATTCGGAGTGTAGCTGGCGACGACCTAGAGAGGGCGATTAACGTTTATTTCGATGGGTCATGGAAGTCTCCCTCTGGTAGTGCAAGGAACCAAACCACGCTGACATCACAACAAACGCTGTCCACACGGTCTACGCCTGTTAATCAGACATCTATGTTTGGAAATGGACCAGGACGGAAGGGGAGTAGTGCTCCGGCTGAAATTGCACCTCGACATACCTCTCAGCCCTCGGTCAGATACGTCGGTGCCTTCGGTGTAGGAGCATGGGCGACTCGGAGTGGAGTGGGGTTTATCAAACATGGAGACCGTGTTAATATTGAGCGTGCAAGGTCTCAGCCGGTTTCGAAGCGTGGCCGTGGAGGGAGGGTTTTCACAAACAACAGAGGTGACGTTCTAACTCGCTTCACCAATCAGGCCGGTCAAGAAATTGGACGACTTCCTCAGGAGACGGCGGCATGGGTGTCGACTTTGCTTGATCAGAAAGTCTGTAAGCTCGAGGGAGTTTGTGTATTCGCACCGGATAGAGTCCGCGTGAATGACACAATATACCTGCAACTGTGGTGTTACTTACGTATAGAGGCGTTTCAATCTAGCATGCTCGATAGCTCAATCGACGATAATCGATCGACAACCATCTTCGAAGAAAAAGAAAGCACTGAAGAGAAGCGGCTACGACTTCGCCAAGTCGCTCTAGTGAAGCTCTTTGATGAGATCGGTCTGCAGCCGACCTCGGCAAACGACATGACACTGAAGCATAAGAAGGAAGGCTTGCTACGTGCAGTGGAGATAGCAGAACAGTACGATAAAAATAAAAAAGAGAACAAATCGAATAACGAGTCATCTGAAGACGAAGAGTCCCCGGAACTAGAGGAAGACCAACTTGATACTCTCTACAAGAAGGCCCAGACTTTCGACTTCAGTATGCCAGAGGCAGAGCCTCCACCGACATTCTCGTTGAGCCTCCGAAAGTATCAGAAGCAAGCCCTCCACTGGATGTTAGCCAAGGAGAAAGATAACAAGTCCGCCAGAGGTCCATCAATGAACCCGCTGTGGGAAGAATATGCATGGCCAGCCAGAGATGTTGAAGATAACAACCTTCCGACTATTAAGGGCCTCGATCACTTTTACGTCAACCCGTATTCCGGAGAGCTTAGTCTCGACTTCCCAGCACAAGAGCAGCACTGTCTTGGAGGTATCTTAGCTGATGAAATGGGTTTGGGTAAAACTATCGAGATGCTTAGTCTTGTTCACTCGCATAGAAACGTCCCTCTCGGCCAAGCAGCAGATGGCCCAAGCTCCGTCTCCGGCCTAGCAAGGCTACCCTCCACGTCCTCTGGTGTGGTCATTGCTCCTTACACTACTCTTGTTGTTGCTCCCACTTCTCTTCTTTCGCAATGGGAGAGTGAAGCGCTGAAAGCTTCCGAACCAGGTTCCATGAAGGTCCTGATGTACTATGGTAATGAGAAGTATGTGAACCTCAGAGAATTGTGCGCAGCAGGTAACCATACGGCTCCCAATGTAATAGTCACAAGCTACGGAGTTATCCTCTCAGAGTATCGACAGATGTTGTCGTCAGCAACATTTTCAGCTACTACGCCAGGTGGTTTGTTCTCGGTAGAATTCTTCCGTGTCATTCTTGACGAAGCACACCTTATCAAGAATAGACTGTCGAAGACGGCAAGAGCTTGCTACGAGCTTAAAGCGACTCACCGATGGGTTCTCACGGGGACACCTATCGTTAACCGCTTGGAGGATTTGTTCAGCTTAGTGCGATTCCTCAAGGTTGAGCCGTGGAATAACTTCTCCTTTTGGAAAACATTTATTACAGTGCCTTTTGAGTCTAAGGACTACGTACGGGCCCTCAATGTGGTGCAGACTGTTCTTGAGCCTCTAGTCCTTCGACGCACCAAGACGATGAAGACCCCAGAAGGGGAGCCTCTAGTACCACTGCCACGTCGGACCATTACAATCGAGGAGGTTGAACTCCCGGAGCCAGAAAGAGAAATTTATGATTATATTTATACCCGAGCAAAACGTACATTCAACGACAACATCGAGGCGGGTACCTTGCTGAAATCGTTCACGACAATCTTCGCTCAGATTCTCCGTCTACGCCAAACATGCTGTCATCCAATACTAACCCGCAACAAGGCCATCGTAGCAGACGAAGAGGATGCAGCGGCAGCAGCTAACGATGGCAACGGGCTCAAGGACGACATGGACCTACAGGAGCTTATAGACCGATTCACAACGACAACCGAATCAGCAGACTCCAACCAAGGCCAGGAATCTTCCAACAAATTCACCACCTACGCATTGAAACAGATTCAGAACGAATCGAGCGGCGAATGTCCCATCTGCTCAGAGGAACCCATGATCGACCCAGCAGTAACCACCTGCTGGCACAGCGCATGCAAAAAGTGCCTTGAAGACTATATACGTCACCAAACAGACAAAGGAGACTCTCCCCGATGTTTCTCATGCCGAGCACCAGTCAGCAGCAGAGATATCTTCGAAGTCATTCGCCATCAATCCCCAACTACTACCCCCACGGAAAACGACCTCTACAGTAGCACACCTCCATCCAGCACCCAACCCGCACCCCGAATCTCCCTCCGCCGAATAAACCCCCTCTCCCCTTCCGCACACACTTCCGCAAAAATCCACTCCCTCATCAACCACCTCCAGCGCGTCCCCTCAACCACCAAATCAGTCGTCTTCTCCCAATTCACCAGCTTCCTTGACCTGATAGCCCCCCAACTGGACAAGGCCGGAATCCCCTACGTCCGTCTCGACGGAACAATGGCCCAAAAAACCCGAGCCGAAGTGCTCGCCCAGTTCAACAAAACCGAAACCTTCGACCAAGAAGAAATCGAAGACGCGGAGCGAGAAGACGATACGAATAGTCCTTTTACCAGAAAACCACTACCGACTAGGAACGGCCACGCATCGGCGAGCCACAGTCCCAGGGTTCTTCTTATCAGTCTTCGGGCCGGTGGCGTGGGTCTCAATCTCACGGCTGCTAGTAATGTGTTCATGATGGATCCATGGTGGAGCTTTGCCATCGAGGCCCAGGCTATTGATCGCGTTCATCGCATGGGTCAATTGAGGGATGTGGCTGTTACGCGGTTTGTTGTTAAGGATTCGATCGAGGCGAGGATGTTACGGGTACAGGAGCGGAAGATGAATATTGCTGGGTCGCTAGGATTGAGAGTTGGGGGAGATGGAAATGAAGATAAGAAGGAGAGGATTGAGGACATTAAGATGCTTTTTGAGTAGGCTGCTCTTGTCTGGACATATACATATGGTGGATAATACCTCAAGTGGTACTTCTTCTGCTAGATATATAGTGTTTACCCCTGTTTAGCATAATACCCTCACATACTAGATATAATGCACTGATTAGGAATCAAATAGAATTTGGACTTATATAGCAGAAGATATCTTCCATGGTTGTACAGAATATACACTAAACTAAGCCGCGAGAATAACAATACAAACGAGTTATCAAGTATCAATCATCACACGTCACAATCTGAATGCTAATTATACATTTTACGACTTATGAGGATGAATAACCCTCTCCACCTTCTCCTTGATGTGAGCCATAGTGCCTCCCGAATGAGAACTATCCTTTTCATGCTTGTTCTCCGAAGGTCCCTGCTGGTTTCTAGCGCCAGGCTCACCAGCTGCCGCAGCTATACACAAACAGTTAGCCTTCACCTTCTCCCCGGAATTTTGAAATGTGAGTTACCGAAATAACTTACCAGGCTTACCGTCATCCTCAGCCTTAGCAACCTTCTCATCCTGCTTCCAGTGGTCTCTGGGCTCAGCGACGGAGGGACCGCGAAGAGCTTCCTTGCTCACATGGTCAGTCTTAGGGGGGAAACCGACATGTTCGACGTCATCGTCCTTCTTGAAAGGTTTAGATGTGGTTTCCTTCTGGGTGCTGCTTTGACGCTCTGCTGCGGTGGTGCTTGGGGTTCGTTGATCGGTGGTGGACCTCGATTTCTGGGGTGTGGATTCGGCGATACCGGAGCTGGGATGTCTGGCTTCGGTACTGGTTGGTTCCTCTGTAAGGCCAGAGCTGGGGTGTCGAGCCTCGGCGCCAGTACCAATGGACTGAGAAGATCGATCGGGGATCTGAGCATAATTTCCGTGGCTGGTGGTAGAACTCAGGTCCCGGGATCCCTCTAGACCAGAGGTAGTGGTGTGACTGCCAATGGGCTGGGAAGACCGGCCAGGGATCTGAGCCTCGCTTCCTCCGTAGCTGGCTGTGGAGCCCAGGCTTCGGGATCCCTCTAGACCTGAGGAAGAGGGGGTCTGGGTGTCTTTCTCGAAAACGGGCTTGTGAGTAGTAGAGGCTGGCTGTCTGAGACCGGTTGTCTGGGCATCGTTTTCCAGGGCCGACTTCATAGGGGAAGTCTGACCTATGGAACTGGTGGTGTGTCCAAGACCAGATGTCTCGACGCCCTTGTCCAGACCGGACTTCTGGGTAGAGTGGTGTCTCAGACCGGTTGGGTGAGTCATGCCTCCTGCCTGAGCCGAGGCCTGAGCAGAAGTTGCACCACCAAGAGTACCAGTGTGTCTGAGGCCTGGGGTGTGTGTGTCATTTGGGAGGGCAGATGCCTGAGCGGATGTTGCATTACCAAGACCACCTGCGGAGCTCTTGTATTCAGATCCGGCACCAGCGGCACCAGCAGCGGCACCACCAGCACCAACACCCGTCATCAAAGAGCCCTGGTTAAGACCAGAGGTCCTGTCGCTGTGGCCGTGGCTGAGACCTGAGGTCTGACTATGACGGTCAAGGTTGGATCCCACGTTTCTCTGTTCTGGGACTCGGTGTGGCTGGGAACCGTACTTTGCGGCGGTTTCGCCGATGGGGTTCAACTCGGGTTGCATAGCGGCTGGGCCACTTGCTGCCTTGCTGGTGTTGGACTTGAGGTTTGAGGAGCGGTCGGCGGGAGTAATCGACGAGAGAGCCTCAGGGACAAGAGCTGTGTTCTCTTTAGATTGGGGAGCGCCGGGTTGCTCTGATTGTATGTTAGTTAGCTATGTGATACAACGATCTAGGGGGACGCGAAGAACAGTAGCAATGCTCACCAGAACGGTTTCCGGCATCGTAAGGGTCAGTCGCGGTTCCTCGGCCTTGAATTCCGGAGATTGGTTCCTCGCCATGCTGGGTCCATTGCTGCTCAGAGGACCGGTAGTCGTTCCTGAGGGAGTCGGCGGCTGTGTGCCAGGCTTTGTCGAAGGGCTCCATGGTCGTAATGTTTCTTTTTTTCAAAAAAAAAAAAAAAAATTTTGAAAATGAAATTGAGTTTGACGAAGTATGGGGAAGTAAAACTAAGACTTAGAAAATATTGCTTGTCAATTGCTTGGTAGTGAAGTAGTAGTATAAGAGTTTTGATGGTCTTGATCACTTGGTCCTCTACGGGGGGTAATATATCAGTCCTTGACTCCTTCGGTCACGCACGGTACGTCAGTGGCATTGAAACAAAAAGGCTCTCATATCCGGCTCGATGACGATCCGTGCAAGAAGTTGCCAATGGTGAAGGAGATCATCTGTTTCGATGTCATCATGTAGGGCTGATGACGTCACCCGCCACGGGAGGTTGTCCTGAAACTCAAGGCCTCTAATCCAATAGTGGGCTGTCTTTCAGACCAGAAATAGAAACAGAGAAGTGAATTAATACGCATGCACATGCTCCCATTAAAAGTCATTGGATAATTCGCCAGACATGATATAACCATGAACCGTTGGAACCCTCAATGATGACACCGCCTGAGTCAGCAACTGCATGAAATGTACAATTGACGTATTGAGTAAAATCCCAGCCATTGTCCATGTAAGCTGTTGCAAAGAAAAAGAAAAAAAAAAAAATGAAAAATGAAAAATGAAAAAAGACCCAATTAAAAAGAAATGATACAAAAGAAAAAGAAGAGCAAGGCAAAACACTGTCCACTCTGTGGCGGTAATGCTGTACATCAATCAAACAGAACATAATCGATCGCTCTTCCAACCGTCTTATGTCGACTCCTACTTGGTGCTCGCCTCCTTTTTGGCTTCTGGGTTCAGAGGGCTGTTAGGATCGTATCCAACACTTTTCACAATACCTAATCCCTTGGTTTTTCCTTCACGGAAAAGTACTCGGTCTCCAGGCGCCAAAAACTCTGGGCGTTGCACAAAACGGAAAGCCACCAGGGCACGATCACCCGTTCTGATAAAGGGACGGTCAATGTCAATGACAGAACATGTTTGACTCACGGCCCCAACATGCAACATTGCTTGGTATCGGGGCTTTATAGTAGTAGCATGGGAGAGAATGAGAACTAGATTCAGTCAGAGTAAACCCTAGACAGGTGACACAGCATGTGGTCCTACCTTCCGCAACGAACTCCCGGTAAACCTTAGGAGGCTGGTCCAACTTCTTGAGAACAACCATACCCTTTCGCACCTCTTTCCTTCGTACACGCTTCAACGCGAACGACCCAGACTGTCCCGCGAAGCAGGCGTTGACAGATATCCGTTTCCGTTCAATGGACTTGATCGTGGTTGTGGTGAATTGTCCAAGCGAATCAGGCCCAACAAGCACCGTATCACCCGCGTGTATTACCCCTGACTTGGCCACTCCCGACACCACCGTGCCTACATGTGGCACCGAGAACGTATCGTTGATAAGGAACTCAAACGGCGCATCGGCATTGTAGTGGCCACGATGGGGAAGAATGTTCAAGAAAGTCCGTACCAGATCCAGATTTTCTCCAGTTACGTTGGACACCTGAAAGATAGGACAGATCCGCTGACTGACAAACTGCGTTGCTGTGTTGATGGTCTGATCCATGTCTTTCACGAAGATGGGTATCTTGCGAGCCCCAGGAGACTTGAGGATCTTATTTAGTTGAGACAAGGTCTCCTGGAGAATTTGTGGGGGGCAAATATCAATCTTGGTAACAATGATCATCACAGGAACGTTTAGAGCCAACGCAATCCCTAGATGCTCTTTGCTCATACCGATCAAACCGTTGTTGGCCGCGACCATCAATAAGCAGTAGTTAGGGCTGCTGCTCAGCATGCCGAAGACCGTAGTCCGCAAGTATCGCTCGTGGCCGGCCAAATCAGAGAAGGAGATGACCTTGGCAGACCGCTTCCCTATCTCTTCCCAAGACAGTTTGCGGCCCTGAGCGCTGGCCACGATCTCCCCGCGACTGTCGAATCCCATAATCTCCATGCCGACGGAGCTGGTCCGGCCGCTCTCGATTTCATGTTTATGTCGGAAAAGATTGACTCGAGCTTTACCGCGACCATCGTCGAGGTTTCCCTTTACGAGAACTCCGAGCATGGTACTCTTACCAGCGTCCACGTTCCCCACAACCGCTATCCGGAGCTCAGCCATTTCCTCCACGGTTTCTGCTGGCTGCCGGATGAGGAGCTTGCCACACGAACCCTTCATTCGATCATTTCTGACCTTGGATTCCTGAGGGCCTCCCACATTGTAGGTGACAAGAATACGGCAGTGTGCGGGCAGCGTTCCCGCCGCCTCCTGTACGCGATGCAACGCCGTTTCCCACTGGGTCAGATCAAAGCCCATGGACTCACCACCATCCTCAATCCCCACGTCAAATATCGCTTCACCATGGCCTTCGTCGATACGTGTTTGTATAATGCTTCCCAGGAGTTGCAGACTGTCCTCTTGTTGGTCTCCTGTATTCAATAGCAAGTCTTTCAATCGGGCTGGTTTCGGAGTGTCAGACAATCCTAGCTGGTCAAGGATCTCCAGTTCTGCATGGTCTTCGTGTATTCGGGATACACTGGCAGTAGAGTAGCCACTGTCGCTAGGAGCAACAGAGCGATGCGCTTGTTGTTTTTCAGCGTATTCCGCGAAATCGCTGAGCGCCTATGCGTTGATAGTTAGTAGGTGGGGCAGAGGTAAGGGAAGAGAGGTATACGATCTCGCCTCGTCGCCGCTCCTCCGGAGTAAGTTTCGGTCCAGCCGGGGCCATGCTTGGATCTTTGGTTGTAAACAATGAGAGTGGTTGTAGAAATGAGACTATTAATACACGGTACTATACGAGCTGTAAGGTCGGATAGGTGACGATTCGCCTCTCTGGCGCATTCAGATACGTATTCGTGTTATCATAATTTCACGACGATGGATAAAGAAATTGGGTGTAAGCAACGGTAAATGACCGCGTTAGTCGATACAGAGCGTAACTGAATAACTCGGGCAAATAATTAGGAACGTTTTGAGGGGTTAAATAGCTGAAGAGACTGACGTGGTATGAGGCTGAACTGACAAGTGTGGAGCGGACTTGGGGAAGCTTTATCGATAAATGGGCGAAGTTACCGCCTGAGTCATACGCCCAAACAGAAGCACAACGAATACCGTGGACCACAACGTGTAAATAGTAAATTATTTTATGACATAAAATAAATTGAGTCGCCTATAGAAGATATGACTCAGGCCGCATGCCATGCGGGAGTCATCATCTGATGTTTAGGCTCTAATTTCTTCGCACATGACGTCTGTTTAACAAGTGCCATGCCATACTAGTAGTCTTCGTCGATGACACACTTAAAGACCCAGGAACCGGAATAAAACTATAATCCACCACTCTGGGGCCATCGCCCGGTTTCATAGTTCCCTTCCTTGTGCTCCCGTATGTAGGAGAGTCAATAGTCTCCTTAGAGCTCGGTGTTCCCTTTCGACGAGTCCATCATCCACTTTGTCCATCCGATCGAATCTTATCAGGCTTGGGGGGATATTAAAACGACGGAGTCTCCTGAGAACGGAATTAGTTGATTTTGTCTCAATTTAGGTTCAGGTATGATGGTAGTTGTTTCGACGCACCTCGCACAAAGAGCATTTCCTCTTGTCTCTTGATCGTCTGTAACAAGCGATATATTAGCCATAATCGTCCAGAAGAACATCCATACTCGCACAACAAATTATCGGTCCACCGAAGGGGCAGAAAGTGTCGGGGAAGAGGGGATCAAAGGGACGTGATGCGACGTACTCGGATTATTTCTTCCTCATTCTCATCCTCCTCAACCACGTAGATGGTCTCCTCTACATCTCCCATCACCAAGTTGCAATGGCTGTCGTATGCCTACAAGAGGACGCTAATCAGCCTCAAGATCGAACTTAAATAGCATTAAGCATAACAAAAGACTTACATGGAGACGACCCTTCAGCTCGCGATCACCGCGGAGCTTGACAAAGACGATTTCATCGAGGGAGAGGCGCACCAGATCCAAAGGTTCGGAGACGGACGTGGTGCCCGCATCTTCCGTATCGGCCATTTTTTTGATTGAGCGAATGAAAGAGAAGAGAGGGGGGGGGGGAAGGAGGGGAAAGATTGAAAGGGGGCTTAGGAAGTCAGTTACTGTAGCAAAGCAGTAGCCGAGGGTAGCAACCTTATAGTAGTAGTAGCCAAAAGCTGTCGCGTTCAGGCCGTGTCAATCAAATCAATTCAATGCAGCAAATGAGGAGAAGCTGCAGGGATTCGTCGCCAAGGCGGCACCAACACGAAACAGATGACTTCAAAGAGGTCGGACAAGCTGGACTGTTTGTCCTACTCAACTTCTTTTCTTTCAACCTCAGGGAGGACCTCTTTTGTTGTGGAAATTTTTGATATCTTCAACGGTCTCGATGCGGGGACTCGTACTTGCAAGTGAGAGATTTAGCTCTCACTTGGTGGTTCCCTCGTGCGGTCGCAATCGGTCCACTCAATTCGCTCTTTGCGCTGGGCCCACTCGACTGATAATAGTACCCGCTCGCGATTCCACTCAGTGGAGGTCCTTCAACAGCAACATTCCCAGAGATTCCTCCTGGAATGCGAATAACGGCCTCCCGAATGATCGGAGATCCTCTCAAACCTATGTCGCAAACTCCCGGTTGAGTACGACCAGTATTCTAGAAGGTGGTGGCAGTCATTATGACCACGTACCCCACACCGCTGATGCGGCCCCAAGTACCGACGGGGACCTGAGTGCACTGAAGGCAACATTCTATGAAATTATCCAAGATGGCCAACCTGACCAGGTCATGGATGCTCTGCTTGATCCTCGCAATGAAGAGTTGGTTGGTTCGATGCCTCAGACCGTATTCGTCGAAGTCTTCCATTTACTATCCCCCGCTTACTTTGTGGTTCCCTATCGCGAGATCCACCGGCCGATCCATCCAAGTGCCGCGAAACTCAAGAGATTTGAGTCGCTAGACTCCATTTTCAATGATTTTGCTACCAAATTGGCGACGGTGGTTTCGATTCGCCGGTCGGCCGGTCAAGCCCTTGGTCTAGCGGAGTACACTCACCTGCTGGATTGTGCACGGTCCGTTGGAGATGCGCTCATGGCCGATTACATTTGGCATAGCATGACAGAAGACGAAGTGGTTCCAGATGTTACATGCTACAATCATTACATGGAGGCCAAGGTCTGGGACAAGGCCTATACCGGGCGAGAAAGATATCACACACGGATGACGCCTTACGCTTATCGGCACAGAAGGTTTTTCCACCCAAATGTCGGTTGGCAGGGCTACCGTACCGCTGAGAAGAGCGTCCGAAAGGAAGTGCTCCAGATATTCAACAGGATGACCGAACAGGGGTATCATGGTGATGAGGTCACTTTTATCAATGTGATGCTGGCCTCCGGCCGTGTGGGCCATGTGCAGGGGATGAAGAACGTACTCAAAGTAGCGTGGAATGTTGACATCGATGCGCTCGCGACATTGGATCCATCTGAATTACCTCCAGCCACTAGTTACGACCGGTCGTCTCCTTTGTACCCTTCAGCTCGCCTCCTGTTTGCAATCGCCCATGCTTTTGGCACGAACAATGATATTTCCGGTGCATTACGAGCTATCGAGTTCATTTCAAACTCGTATGGTATCCCTGTCCCGGAAACGGTCTGGCTTGAGCTTCTCGAGCGCTCCTTTGTCCTGTCACGGAACCGGTTCGGTCCTGACGCGAAGCGGAATTCATTAGGCAAAGTGCCTCCCGAGTTTGTGAAGGGTGTATTCGAAACAATGACGTCGAGCAATTTTGATGTCCGCCCTACAATTGATGTACATCGTATCCTTGCCAAGACAGCATGGGATCAAGCCAGACTGTCGGAATTCCAACAGCACATGTGTGCTGCTTACGACCTTCTGCGAGAAACCAGACAGAAGCGGAGGACAGCGAAAGACATCATCGAAGCTTATCTAGGAGGGGCGTCGTCTTCCCGACGGGGATCGCGAATCGACACGGCGCTTCTACAAACACGAGGTTTCGCAGAGGCGGTACACACCTATGATGTCCTCCGATTGCGCACTGCTCAGCAGACCATCGCCATGGAACGCTTCGCAAGACTCCTCGTTACACACAAAAGGTGGACTGGCCGCGACAATCCGGTATGGGAACGCTGTCTCCTCCCTCAAATGCTCGAAGAATGGCAGGATTTTCTCCCAAAGTCCTTCCAGTACCGCATCAGAAACGGCCAAGTCAATATCCTGGGCGCGACGCACTGGGGCCAACATAGATTGGCACTCCACAACAGAGTCCCAGTCCGTCGACCTACCGCGGAAAATGGCGTTGAGCTGGACGAGGAGGCCATGGAAATGGACGACGATTTCGTCTGGGCACAATATCTACGCTCCAACCCTGGTCTCGACTTAAACGTCGCGCCACTGAAACGACTCTTCTCCGGAGTCGTCGAAAGAACCCGCAGACCTAGACCTTCTGTCACAGATAGAGAATATGTTCCCGAGCCCCGAAAGCTGGACTACGAGGGTGACGAACTGTCTAATCTGCCGGGGGAAGATTATGCCGAAACGCAATGGACTGCACAGAGACAAAAGGGAAGGGAAGTACCGGGCGATATGCCCGGAAACTTTGACATGGTATTTTCTTAGCTTTGCTTTATTTCATTCTGCTTGTTCTTTTCTTCTATTTTCTCGATTCCATTCACGTCTTAAGCGATCCGCACAGTCGGGTTGATGAGCTGCTTATTCGATCAGTTACGAAGCCTCTGATACTTCAGTATGTTGTTCAGCATCGGCCATATACCCTATCCATAGTATTTGTTGCCAATCCAAATATTCTCTTTGTCTGCCAATGTGCTTTGTTTTGATCATCATACCGTGGGTCAATCGCGTATAACATGTAAAAGTACCAAACAGAGTCTCTCCCCACGTGTAGTAAAGGACAGCACCGTAAAGAGAAATCGACATTTGCCAATATACTAAGCTTTGGTGTTTGTCATTGATGAACCCTTCTGTCCCATCAGCAAATTATCTTCCAAGTAGTCTGATGTCAATCATCAGTTACACTAGGATTATTCTTGATTATATACAGCGAGCCACACAGTTCTGATGGCACATCGCTCTGATAAGATGATTGGTTTATTTTGTGGAGTTAATATACAGATGGCCTTTCAGGGTGTCATTGTGTTTACATGAAGACATAAAGAATACATACTTGGCTCACCAGATATGTGAATCTGACGCATCCTAGCGCCAGGGCTGAACTTAACTCGAGTGGTACATTGTCCAAATCCTCCATCATAAGCCACCGCTGCCATTCCCTGGACGGACTAAACCTTCTCACGCTTCAAATCATTAACCGCCATATAACGACCAAAAGTAATCCACCCGTATCGAAACCACACCATCTGACTCTGATGAGCTTTGACCATAGCCGACTGCGCCGTCATCCATTCACCAACAGAGCTAACAAACAGAAGCCTCGCAGGTGTATCATCCTTGGAGGCACGAGATGAGCTCCTCAAGCCCGAAAACAGAGCATCGACAGCTCCACGCGCCATACTCAACGGCGCATCAAGCACGCCGATATATTTGCGCAAGATGTTCGTCGTGGTGAGCGTGTACAGCGAGACCGGACAGGTATACCCGGATTTATCCTTCATCAGGGTACGAAGAAAGTGGACAGCGCCATAGTAGAGAGAACGGTGGTTGGGATGGTTGCTTATACCATGTCTGTCAAAGGTAAGGAGCACATCGATAGTCGCGACGGGTGGTTTGCCCCCCGTTGCTCCTCGTTTCCGGGACCCGGAGTGGGTGTCGCCCATTTCGGGGGCGAAGGCTGATGCAAGCAAGTCTGAGACGTCGCTTTCTGTCCAGGTGGCGCTCATGCTGTCGGGGAAGCGGGTTGGGTCGTCTATGATGAGAACATCAGACTCGTTGCGGAGGCCCAGATGCACGGCGCTTTTTTGGAGCTCCTTTTTGCGGATGTGGCCTAGCCCGTCGGCGTCTCCTGATGGGTTGTTAGTGTGCTTGGAATAGAGTGAGGTGGTTCTATGCAACGTACCGCTACTGAGACATAAGATCTTGAGATGGTTTCCCAGTTCTGGCTTGGTTAAGGCTAGCACCGTCGGTGCGAAGAACATGGCCTCATCGTCGGGGTGGGCTATTAACAGGCATATTCGCTTGTTGTACAATCGAGGGAAATTACGAGCAAATGGTGAGGAAGACGTTGCGGATAATGTCCAGAAGATGAAGACGGCTGTGACAGCGAAGCCCAGTGTGATGAATGATGATGGAGACATAGCACGAACTTTGAGTACTCAATTGGTTGGCCACGTCTTAAACTAGCAAAGTGAAATATAGAGCCCACGGGACTGAACGGCAAGGTTATTTTAAGAATTATGGATCGAAGGAGCAAAAACGGAGTTGACTATGAATGTAGTGGAGGCGCAACCGACATTCTCTCTCACACCTTATGTTCCAGTCCAGTTATGCATTTATTTAAGATGCTGATATCTCAAGCCAGTCAATAAAAATTCAATTGCAGCATGGCATTTCAAGGATGAGAGAGAGCTATATCGTGTCCATTCAACATAATGCAGTGGGATATAGGCATAAAAGGGGAAGATGTGTCTGCAAAAGCCAATTGGGGTGACAGCCGTGTTATCACCACGTGACCGAAGATAGTAGACTGAAATCTACTACGGAGTACAATGTTATAGAAAACTACGGAGTACCTCCGTACCCTCTTGGTGTTATGCGAGGTCCCACTCCGGGGAGCTTAGCATTGGAATGTCAACACCAAGCTGGACTTCTTATAAACTTAGGATAGAGAATTTGGCGTGATAAACGTATATATATCCTTGGTTTAGGTTGTTCAAGATTATCTAGATAATCAAGCCTTCGTGCCGCAACTTAAGAGTTATATCCGAGAATCCTTACTCAAAAGTTACTACTGTAGTGACTCGTTTAAGAGTGAGGTCTGGTTTTTTGGGTGGGCGGGGGAGAGGGGGAAGAGATTATTCGAAGCTGGATGGTAGTAACCAGCAAGCATGAGAGAAGTTCTGGTTCTTGCAGGCGGTGGACTACTGCCTGTAAGTATGTAAGTATGGATAACGAGGTCTTAGTTAAGTAGTCAGTAGTCTTAAGCGTCGACACTCTTCCTCTCAACATCATGAGTCCATCACTGGGTCTCGGTAGGTCTTCAAGAACCTTCCGCGCATTTGTTCATAAGATGAGAAGTCCCAGAGAGTCCTTTTTTTCTGCCCGTTTGTGCAACCTGCCACTTGAGCTGTTGCTAAAAATAGGCGCTTCCTTGGACTGCCCAGCCTTGTGTTCTTTCCGACTCGCCTGCGAATCCCTATACGACTATACCTTGCCTCAATTTTGCATGAGACTGTTAAGCCAGACCTGCCCCTAGCCTCCCTTCAGAAAATGGACGCATTACTGCAGAATTTGCAACTATGTCCATATGTCTGCCCATTATGTATCAACAGCATGGGTGATGATATCTTAGGATCACAACTCAAGTGGGAACGGCACGCCTCTGGGCTTATTGTTACTCCATGAGAATCTATTCAACGGTGGCAGGATACCCTACTGTGCCTGGTGAATTGTCAGTCCTTTCGCCAGTACAAGCATTTCACGCTATATCGTCCCAACCCACCCAATATTTTGACCCCCAGTGATACAATTACAATCCTTCCTAGCACTATCGCTGCAATAGAGCGTCCACTACGAGACTTTAATATCTTATTCAAACCGCAAATTTGCGGTGGAGGGAACCTGATCGACATATCTCGCGTTGACAGAGGCCTCCCCCAAGAGCCGAAGTTCGTTGCTGCATGTTATAGTCTGGAAGCCGTCACGGTCAGATACACAATGGACACAGAAGACACGGTTGACTTCGTGACGCAGCTTATACAACATACGATGCGCCTGCAACAACTGAGGATCGATGCTAATTATGGCGACCACTCGACAACTCTTATGTCTCGCTTGTTTCCCACCCCACCCACCCTTAGCTTACGTGAATTGACTTTGGAAACCGCTCAGGTAGGCTCGAGTCACGCCTTGAACAGGTTCCTAATCTCTTCAAACAGAGCTTGGCCAATGTGTCGTTCGCTGCTATCCACCTCGACTCAGGGGAGTGGGCGTCTGTTCTACGCGCCCTTTCCAAATTTCCGTCGCTGACTGAAATTTCCACATATATGCTCGGTCAGGCAGGATCTCCGAGAATACACTTTCCTGTAGTGCTGCAAGATCCTATCGTTGACCCAGTGCTGGGGACAAAATTCTCGTACACTGTCAAAAAGCTTCGACAAGGGCAGAAGACCCCGACGGTTGCCCAGTAGCCTAGGCTTCGCATTGCAAAAATTGGCTGACTTTGCAACGCCTTACAAAGTCACAGACTAGGACGGCTACTCTTGCATTAATCTCCTCTTCGTAGAAAAGTGCCAAATGTTCAGATATCTCTATACTGATTTCCTTGATATATACGGCAGCCTGGAACCAACGACTGGCTGCGTCTATTAGCACACTTTTCTCTCAATTTGAAGAACCTAAAATTTCTCTACCCTTGTCATCTAAATCCAGGTACTGTCTCAAATGGCACAAATATGTCCAAAATTCCTTCACATCCCCATATCCATCAAAACGTTCCCGTAAAAGCGTTTTCCACTCTGCATCCACTTGCGTGAGACCCCAGGAAGCCGAGACATACTCACACCAGATAGTCTTCATTTCGATCTTTGTGCCCTCATCTCGGCGCTCTTTTAGAATCAGACTAGGCCCGATAGACCGTACGTTTAGATTGTGGGCGCCATAAATGAACTTGAAATGGCTAGAAGAGCAACATTGCCTTTGTTTTTAGATGTCCAGCCACAGGCAATGGAATCTTCGGCATTTTCATCTGCCATTTTATAAAAGTCCTTAGGGAAGGCAGAGTTTCAGGAAGATATACGAGTCTGAAATACGGAAAAAATAAGGGTATGAGAATGTGGTGCTGCGTGATGTAAGGTTTGGTTAAAGCGAATGAGTATCGTGGAGATTGATAGAATATGATGACATGGTTTATCCGACTGGTGCCCCCACAACCACCCGCTGGACTAACGATGAGCGCTAGGTACTTAGTATCTCATAAGATGTACTGATATGTCAGATTAAGTGCTCATATGAGGCTCATGAGCCTCTCTGATCGAGCTTCAAGCAATCTAGACCGATTGAGAAATCTAGATAGTTTATTCAAATGTTAACATTATCATAAGGATTTATATTAGAGGGCTGGGTAGAGAGTATTACGAAGCATAGTATACAGTATTTCAGACCTACTAAAGTCACCAAGCGAAGTGGCTTGTAAGTATATTCGTGTAACGGAGGGTTTACTATACAGGGGAGATAGCTTGTTAACTAGGTAAGGATCCGTGGGCGCGGAAGAAGGGAAACGTCTATCATTGACTGAATAGTAGACTGGAATACTAATCAATTGATTCTTGTCCCTTTTTGCGTATTTGGTACTGTTTTTTCAGGCCACCTAGATATCCTATGCGATTGACAGCTCATGCTATATCGGAACCACGACAGTCTGATAGATTAGACCTCGCATCCAATTATATCATGACTCTGTTAATCCCGTTATGTCCGGCAGTTCGTCAGCCAATTCTATATCAGAACCATGACGATCTGATGAATTGGACCTCGTAATTCTGTTAATCCCGTTATGTCCGACGCTACCTAATAAACTCCTAGATGGAAATCCAGTGTTCGAATATCGTCAGACAATTACCCGTTGAATTACTAGCCTTGGATAGACAGTCTTCTGGCGGAGTTAACGGGCGTATGTCCTCAAGACCTCGTACATGATATCACTGTGCCTCCGCCTGTGCCTGTGCTTGACCATATATTATCAGACATATATTAGTAGTTTGTTATTTTGACCTACACAACCGTATATCCAAGAAGAACATAGTATCACCTCCCCATGTCTTCCCAACCACTTCTTGCTCGCTACCGACAGCTCGCCCCCTCGGCGTCTGTCAGAGTCTCCCCTCTATGCCTAGGTGCCATGACCTTCGGCACGGCGGCAAAAGAGCGCTACGGAGAATGCAGCAAGGATGCCGCCTTTGAGATCCTCGACTATTTCGTCAGTCAGGGCGGGAACTTCATCGACACCGCTAACACATACCGAGAAGAGCAATCCGAGATCTGGCTAGGCGAATGGCTTGCCTCCAGGCAAAACAGGGACCAGATGGTAATTGCAACCAAATACACCACCGGCTGGCAAGGTCATCACAAGGACAAAATCCAAGCCAATTATGGTGGGAACGGAACCAAGTCAATGCGTATCTCGATCGAAGCGTCCCTACGCAAACTCCAGACAACCTATATCGACTTGTTCTACGTGCACTGGTGGGACTACACTATTTCGATCCCGGAGTTGATGCACGGCCTAAATGACCTTGTTGTCTCTGGGAAGGTCTTATACCTGGGTATCTCTGATACACCCGCTTGGGTGGTCGCGAAAGCCAACCAGTACGCTCGTGACCACGGCCTGCGACAGTTCACCGTGTATCAGGGGATGTGGAATGCAGCGATGCGTGATTTTGAGCGAGACATCATACCTATGTGCCGCGATGAAGGAATGGGCTTGTGTCCCTTTGGGGTGCTGAACCAAGGTCGCTTCCAAACTGAAGAGGGATTCAAAGAACGCGAGAAGAGGACCGACTGTCGGAATTTCGTCCCTCTGTCTGAGCACGATAAGAAGGTTTCCCGCGTACTTGAAACTGTTGCTAATGCGAAAGGAGTAGAGCTTCTGCAAGTCGCCCTGGCTTATGTTTTACAGAAAACGCCCTATGTGTTTCCCATCGTCGGTGCTAGGAAAGTTGAGCAAATCAAAGGAGTGATGCCGGCCGTTGGGATGACGTTGACAACTGAGGAGATTGAGAAGATCGAGTCGGCGTATACGTTTGACCCTGGGTTCCCGCATACTTTTCTCAGCGGGACGCTGATAGGGGTCGCTGGGGATGGCGCCCCTCGAGGCGCTTATGGCCCAGGTGATATGTGGTTGACCAAATCATTGGGAACTTTTGACTGGGTAGGGTATCCGGAGGCAATTGCGCCAGCTGAGAGAAAGTAGCGGTCGACTGCTCGACTATCTTGCATAATAGTGTCCATCTAGATATGTCTAGTGGCTAGTTGTAATGGCTGACTACCTTTATTATGTAAATATGTTCTCGATATATCTCAAAAGATTCATATTTACCCAAGTCACCTGATTTGTGTACTCTTGACCCGACTACTTAATCAGATGTATCTAGATGTGCGTGTAAATGTAGCAATAAATCATGGCCAAGAGCAAGTGAAAGCGGAATTATCTGACCCGCTAGTAGCTACATGAATTAATAGACAGGTATTTGGACGGTCAAATTGCTATAGCAAGATAAATTACTCAACCCAGTTCTACAACATCAACACGTGCGCTAGGTCTGAACTTGGACAGTGTTAGGCCAAAGCGAACACTTGAAATTGTGTTTGGTACGTAGTCGGTGTGAATCCACGGGTGGATCACCATGCGGCGATTACTGCCATGTGGAAAAGGTTCCCGTATACTAGACATGCATGAAGCTTCGGCGTTTGTAGCCAACCACCATTAGATCAGATATAGGCGATGTGCAACCGCCACCACGCCAATTGAAGAGCCTCGGCAACATGGAGCATTTGATTTGACTCGGCCGAGCACACAGACCCTGGCTTGCATGGATCTATAGTTGTCCAAGCCTGATACGTCGAAGCTATGCCAGCATCGATTCTGTGAGGGTGTCGCTCAGAGCTATGTTATTCATAGTCAATGGCATGTACATATGTACGCTAAACTAAGATACCTGTATTGTTCGCAGCGGAGAACGTCATCATTAATGACGCGGCAATAGTACATTAGTACATACATACATCCATATACACACATAAGAAAGAGGAGTATATTGTGAATTGACATCTATAACACATAAACTAAATTCGAGGCCCGATGGATACCTGATGTCGGAGGAGAATCCCGTAGGTGAGTCATGTCAAGATGTAGAGTAGTACATCTAGAACAGCATAGATGAAGTGTAACAGGAAATGAGATCCCGGATCGTGCGATGTCGGAAGTGGTATCCGGCTAGCGGTTCACGTCGGGACAGCAATCCGACAGAGGCAATAACAAGATAAGCTGATCGTCGACACCTGAATTAATAGGGTACTGACAAAGCGTGGCACATTACAATTGCCAAGGTAGGAGACTCCGATAGATTGAATCAGGTTATTAGACCTTTTTAGCCTAAGATATCTACTCCGTACATAGTATGTTGCCATACCGCCTGTTAGTCATATTAGGTAATAAATCCAGTAAACTGATGGCGCAATTGGAAAATCGTGAAAAGCCCTGAGACTTGGAAGGGCGGTGCGTACTCCATAACTGTCACTTCAATACCAATTCACTTCTCACACACCCATACACTCCACCAACTAAGCCGCAAGGGTCGGACTTCATAGTATCTAATCAGGCGAGGGGGTGGTAATCGAACAAACAATCGGCAGGAGCCGAAAGGTTCTTCAAGAGGCGCACTCAGGGTAGATTGTTCAACCAATCAGCGTGGCGTGTCCGGCCACTATGCCAACCCGATCTGATCAGGGGGAGAGAAAACTCTGAGGCGCTAATGACACAGGAATATGGAAACGGAGCGCCCTACGCTAGCCGTCGAAGAAGGCCGGGAATAGTCCGTGGAAACGAAGTAGGGCGGACAAAACAAGGTTTCGCTTTCCAGCGGAAAGCGCCGATGGATCAACCATGTGTCGCCCTCGGAAATTTTATGTCATTTATTTGCAAGGAACGCGAATTAGTCACCCTTAAACGACGAGCGGCGATCTCCATGCAATGGCCCCTGGACTCTACATCCGCATCTGATATAGCTGATGTACTCCGCAGTTAGTACACAGTAAATACCGCAATTGTGAATACGTGTTCAAGTCGAGCAAATTAATCCCTCAATCTGACGCTGTTTCCAGAAGTCCAGACTGAAGGTGATCATTTATTTTTTTATTTTATGTTTATTGTTCTTTTCAATCTCGTATGGAGTACGCAGGGTATTGGGTCGGGACTGGCGTGAAATTCTGACAATAGGAGATTAGATCCCCATATGTAAACCAAGAATCAAAATCCAGTTGGAAGTGGATGTATGCCAAGCCTGCCCGAAACCAACAATTACGCGCCGCTTGAGTCAGTGCTCATGGATGGAGGGGGGTAATGGTCTATACCGACAATTAGTTCTTATAACCAAGAGCCACACAAGGGATCCAGAATGATTGGATAGACAATGTCCGTACCGCAAGGGGAGAGGTCCTTGCCGAAACCAATAGGGCCGTTGAAACGAACCATGATATGAAGAGAGTTTCTCCGGATATACTTTGATCAACCTCAAGGCACTGCGCACGGGGAGAGCTGGGTTTGTCGGAGAGCTTGGGATAGTTGCCGTATGGGCATCCGGTCTCTCGTGGCATGATCCAGTCGGCCATCCGTCAGCATACTCGTGCCGAAACTCTCACATCGGGGGACCGACCAACAGACATGGCGAAACAAGACATGATGTCGTCTGAGATCTTCAGATTGATCATCAATCCAAGCGCATAAGGTGCCTTAGTCACGGCGGAGGACTTCCAATGGGCAGTGGCGGTGGTGAAACTGTTAGGTAATAAATATGGCGCAGGCGGTGGCCATTCGTCAGAAAACGTGCCTTTCCCCTGTTGACCACCAACGCACAGGGCACACTCCCTGACAGCAAGGTTGCGTCTAGAACTATGTCGAGCGTTGTGATGTGTTGCACATCAACTGATCTTCGTAAATATCGTCTTTCTTCTCCTTTAGACCGCTGTCTTTGATCACAATTCATCCCCCATTATCTCTCATCTTATGATTCACCAGCCAAGATGAATTGCGAAAACCACCAGCAGGCGATGATGGAATGCCCCGCAAACGATCAATTTCCTGCAGTGCGGGGGGAAATGAAAAAGAGATTTGGACCAACGAGGGGCAGCTGAGCGCCCTGGAATTTTCCGAAATTGTGCCTTCTACCGCCGATCCTGTAGGGCACAACATGCTAAGGCTTGCCCAGATATGGCAATCACAAGGAGACCCACGCTTTGACCACTATCAAACAAAAATCAATAATCTCGGGACGAAGTCCAAGGTCCTCCTGGGACCTGAGGATATTCTCCGGAAACTGGTATTCTTACCCGTGGAAAGCAAAGGGGTGCGAACTTTGAAGGTGAGTATTAAAGATTTTCTTTTTCTTTTTCTCCCGTTAGTAGTGGGGTCCGACCATGTTGCAACCGCATGAGCCTACCTAATTTAAACTGGATAAAAAAAAATTCGATGTATAGAAAAAATTTTTCTTCTGACCGGTCCCTTTTCCGAACGGTGTGCTTCCGGTTCGATGGTTTTTAGCGTCAGCTTCCAGGTGGTACTGTGCCCCTCCATCTTGCAAAAAACGGAAAAGCGGCATCACAGTTCCAAAGGATCTCCAACTAGCGCCGTAACCGCTTGCCGTATGGTACTGTATATCCGCGTACCGGTGCCGGTCACCGGTTGTATGAGCAAGACTTACGCCAGACCGCCTGAGGACGCCGGGCCTTCCAGTCTTTTCATGACGCCACGTGATGGTTCGATGACGGCAGCTGACCTGCCAGAAAGGGTCAAAATAGCGCCGCCCTGGAAATCAGGCGCAACGGGTAACCGGTCCGCCTGCTGACTTCAGTCGTATGTTTGTTTTTGTTGTATGTGTGGTGGCTGATGATTTGTTCATTGGGCCCCAAATTATCTTGTCTCAGCCTGTCTCTCTTGTTCAATTGTTGGTTGCTGGACAATGGATCTAGAATTTGATATATTTGGTTGTCGTCGTGGCACTGTGTCTTACTACAATCTTCTAAGTATGGAACAAGCCAATGAGCATTTGTAATGATGAACTTTTAGTCTGTCTAGAGCATGAGTCAGCATGTCGACCCTTGGTTAGGAGACTTGGAGTCCTACTCTACTTACAGGACATGACAGCATTGTCTACAATTTGGCATTGTTAATCCGGTACGCCTTCAAGAATAGTCAGGAGTTCTTAATTCTATCGGCCGAACCCCACCCGTCAAAGCGCTGCGTGTACATAGCAAAGGTAGTAGGGATGCCGATTGCGCATGCTCTCTGGGAATCACATCCAAGTCCGGTAGGGTTTGACGGTCCCGGGGATTGGCAACTATAGATCGCCAAATCTTCAGGTGAGTCACTGCGCACGGGCTTCAAGCGATGCATCCTGCAGCGTCATGTGTTGAATATCTTTATATCCTTTTGTACATTAGTGTAGTCTTTGTCATTCCTTTACGGTATGTTGTCAAATGATGTGAGCGCGGAGATGTAAAAGCTGCAACTCCATGCGATATACGACCCTACGGAGTAGGTACCGGAGTAGACTAGACTCCGCGGAACAAATACTCGGTCGGCCTCACATGCCCACAGTCTTTGTTGTTATTGTCGGGGTCTTGCTCCGGCTCACTTTTTTAGAAGGATGTATGAGAGTAGTAGTGTAACCGAACTAGTCAGATCATTGCTCCCCGATCTTGCGTAACTATTCTTCATGAGATTGCGTGATCTTTGTTTTTAGAATCTGGGGATTCAAGACTACTACCAAGTATATCCAGTGGACATTCTTAAATCTACCTTATTCTAGAATAAGGGTATATGGCTAAGACTGATGTAATTTCAACACGCAAGCTGCCAATAAGGGACTACCTTGTGGACAATAGCAATACTGGTTTAATTCGACTTTTATTACCCTCCTAGGGAAATTTCTACGCGATGAGCAAGCGAAGGCCCTTCAATCCTCTGCTATTTTTGCACCGAGGGTACTCCGCCCGCCGTATGGGAATGTACGGTAACCGTATGGTAAGATCCACAGTGACGCTTTTCTGCCGTGCCCCACTTGGACCCCATCGAAGTGACGGAGCTTTAGGGTGGCCAGACCGGGAATTATTGGTACCTTGTAACATGGTGTGGGAACCTCCTAGAATCAACTAAAA